TGTACAAGGGAGATGAGGCACAGATGGTATGACTATATGATCAGAGGAGTTGACGAAACACATGGGAGAAAAGCAGTAAAGTGGACCGAAAAAAGCCAAGTGTTCTCTATAGCGATCACGCTGGTCACCTGTATGTGACCTGCGTCAACTAGATGTATCCTGGAATGGAAAAGGCCTGTGAATCACGGAGATATGGAAAAGATACGAAAAAATGTAAATAAAACATGATAAAATACCAGTCGACACCTCCGACCTTCAACGAGCTCTCAAGTTTTGGCATTGTGCTTGGACTAGCCCACTGATCGTCCTCAACGTCTTGCCGATGTGTGATGCTCATATAAAGTTGGTGGATTTTTGGTGGATCAATAAAAGTCTGAAAAATCATTTGAAGAATTGAATTAATGAGAAACAAACCGCTTAACATGCAAACATATATAGTACGTTAAACTTATTTTATACCAGCTTCACCAGCACTGTTTATCTACTGGCTGTCTCAGAATTAGATGCACCAGAAGTATTTGATTCAAAAGTACAATTCAAAAAAGAACAGCAAGTAGTAATTCACCGTTCGTCCTAGTGATTCATAGCCTGTTCGACGACTGGCGAAATTTACGCTGGAGCCTGTTCGTTTACTAGTTTTATAAGCAGTCGGCAGCAAAATTGTTTGAGAAACAGGACGAGTGACTGAAGCGTTCACATCGTTGTGGCTTTCGTGGCGTGGTAACAGGTTCATCTTGGTGGCGATGTTGAAGGGTCGAACAGAAGTAGAAACCGGCGACGGTGTAAGTTGGTCGCGAAGCCGCCTGGAAGACAGAAATACAGGCTCTTATTGAAAAACTGATCGCAGAAGCATAGGGACCACCAAGAAGTAAGGTGTTGGTGATGGCAAGCCGCATGATGTATTCTGCCATATTGAGCTTCATTTGCCGTATGAGATAGTTGAAGGGCTCTATATGAATATTCCCTCTGTAAAGACTTAGATCCAAAGGCAGTATTTTTTATCCGTGTCTATAAACCGACTTCTTCTTCACGTCGGCATGAATAATCAGCACCTTTTTGGGATGTTCACCCACATGACGTTGCTATAAACCTTTTATTCGGCCAACATTTCGGCTCGTTCGCCTTCTACACAACCGTTTCGACTCGACCCGATTGTCCTCAGATTTTCATTCTTGCGATCTCATTCTTTGCAGTTCATCGACTCGAGTTATAATTAGTGTTTTGCCCTATGTCGAATGGTCTGCTACTAGTCTATCCATCTTCGAGAGTTGTATTCGCTAACGATTAGAGTAATACAACGACGTGGCGTGGAGATTCTAGCAACGAGGCGAAATGGAACCAACTTTAGAAAAAAAACCAGTAGACTGATCCACTTCAAACTATCCTTCACAATAACATTCCGATTAAACTTATCGCTCCTCTCGTGCTTATAATCTCTGTAGACTTCTCCATACAAGGCACGTGCCAAATTTTTCATCTCAATGTACGAATTGTTCACGTTCTACACCTTTGTCAACTATAAAGTTCAAAACAAACACAAAATGGAGTTGAGAAACAGAGTAAGGGGAGCCTAACCATCGAAATATTATGGATTTTACGCCTAAAATAGGAATCTCGTCGCAAGATCTGGGATTCGTTGTTCGGAAAATCACAATTGCGGGTGGCAGCAGCGCAACAGTTCCGAAGTAGTGAAAGAAGAAGTGACGTCTGCAACCAGATGTACATACCAGTTGACAAGGCGTTAACAATATTTGCATGAAATTTATCTTATCAGGTCTCTCTGCACATCGATACAACACGATGTGAATATTACGAGAGCTTCGCAATAGACTCTCGATGAGCGAGTGACAGTTCCGCTTTTTCGAATTTCGACGTGAACAGCTCCGTTCGCATAACCCACTTTCGTTCGTCAAGTGAAGTTATCCACCACATATTTCCTACCCATGTTCCTGTATACTGCGACCTATTGACCAGAAATTTCAAGCAACTGAGATGATGATCATAGCTTTAGGTCGAAGTCTTCCTCACATTCAAGGAGAACTTGACGACGATAGAAAATCTCCTAGAAAACAAGTCAACAGAAATAAGACTTCTTGCACTAATTGAAACAACCAAATGTTATGGAATGAAATACAGGATCTGCAAAAAACGCGCTCCTCACTTATGAAAGACGATATGACGCAAACACTTTCTCTTCTACTAGCAAAATTCTCAGATCGGGTGATCTTCGCCGGTCATCCGTGCAACGGCTATTGGAGCTCGTTTCCAACTGAACAGTTCGACTTACTAAGTAGAGTAGAACTTTGACTACTACATCACATATTTTCAATATCAATTTTCATAAAAGGGCGCGTGTGGCACAGTGGTCGGAAGTACCTTGAAACACACACGTGGAATCGATCCCCGCGCCCATGGCCCACCAAGCCTTCCATCCCTCTTGGGTGGACAAATTGGTACCAGACTTGTCTGGGAGGATTCAGTCACCTCCGAACAATGCTTAATGAAGTAGAATGCATAGCGCATCCCTCAGGGAGTGATCAAGTGATTATCCTTTATTTAGCTTTATCAATTTTCATTCAACCTCCGCATGGACAATAAATATCTCAGCTTTTCCAAGAGCTCACAAGAAGTCGTTACAATTTTTCACAGTGGTGCACGTTCCTGTGTGCTACCGCCTTCGTCACTCTATTCGACTTCACTCGATTCCCCGTCATTCGATGCATTGCGGCTCCGGAGAAGGCAAAGGCGGCGAAAGCTTCAGCACAAAAACGCTTTGTAAAAACCTCGTGTTAACCTGTCAGCATAACAAGACTAAAGTGACTTTCTCATTTTTAAGTGAGATAGGCATAACAGGTCACTCCGAGACGATACCGTCTACTAACTTACATTTGACTTCTGTACTCCTTAACATTGAAACGATATGATGGGCCGAATAAATCATTCGCGTCACTCATCTTCCTTCTAGATTATTCACTGTCACGAAAATAGGATACAACTGTGAGATTATCGAGTGCCAAAGATCTGAAACAAAATTCGATGACAGTTGTCCTAATACGCTGTTGCGAGTGCGATTATTGTCGTGAAGAAAGCAAATATGATTTATAGAGAAAGACCAGAATTCTGTTAGCATCTTTGACCAAGAAACTACTGATATGAAGTCACCTTCAACTTCCACAAGATGGAATGAGAGTTGGAAAAATGAAATACTCTGAATAACTGATAAGGCAGTGTCACCCTGTTTTCGTACACAATTGATAGGAACTCTCTGCGACGTGACGCACCCCTTAGTGTTCCCACTTGCTAAAATTTCGATGTTATGGATTTCATAGCGGATTTTTATTGACTGAGAATCCAGAAATCTTTCAGAGACGAAAAGCTACAAGCAATTTGCCTCTCTGATGCTCTGGGATACATTTGCCACCATATTTTCGCCGATGATCTCACTTCGTTGCTAACGATGATATTACATATTTTCTACAAACTAGGACTGCTACTAAAAACAAGCAATAAGATTTTCTTGAAGGGATGACCATCTCACTGATTGTCTCACCACCTGTTGTCATTTGACTGTCATTCCCCTCAACCACAGTGTTGGCAGAAAAGTGGCCGCTTTCCGGATGGGGCGAGAAATCAGGATTAGCTGCACTTCGTGGAATTTCAGTGTCGAACATCTCACCACATTACAGTGTATTTTCCACATTATACTCTATCCATAGGAGCGTGTGTAGCGCAGCGGTCAGAGGCGTCTTGCAATACACATGGGATCGGTCCTCGCTCTCCAGGCTCACAAGACTGTCCATCTCCTCGGGGTCGACAAACTGGTACACACTTGTCTGGGAGGATACCAACACTGGTTTGATACGTCAGCAAGCGACCGCGGTTCATTGTAAAGGCCAGATATGCATTCATTCACCTCCAACGATGGTTAATGAAGTTGCATGCATGGTGCATCCCTTACGGATTGATCAATACCGAGAGCTTTATCCTTTACTCATTCGATTGAAAACACATTTTTTTGAATTTCTATTGAAACAACACTTCCAGAACTAGAGATAAGAAAACAATTTATAAACGCTTCACTGGAAACAACTCTACGCCAGACTTTCTTCAACTGAGGTATGCACACAACAAATTGACATGGTCATAATGTGAGAAAACAGTAACAAACAAATAACAATAATGAGAACCTTTTATCAACTAACTCATTATTACGAACAACCGCTTATTTCCTAATTTTTTTATTAGCTACTTAATACGGCTTCACGCATCGCTTCTGCTTTCCTTTTTCGCTTAGTTGACGCTCGCCATTGTGGTTGTAAATCATTCAGAATTTGAGATATTTCTCTTGGATTTACATTTCCGGCCAAGGATATATTTAACGTAACGTGGAATCCTGAAATAGATATGACAGTGAAAGCAAAGTTTAAAATGGTATACATTTGAAACGTGAGTAGTTAGATGAGTTGTTTGTAGCTGTTTGCACTATCTGACTCCTTTTTATTTGTAGGTATTCGTACTTGGATGGTACATGTGAATGAGTGGAAAACGCGGAATCCACTCACCCCTTAGTGTGGCAAGTTAACCACGAAATGAAAAGATAAACAAGGATAAAGCGTTCCGCGCTGATCAATCACAGAGGGATGCATCATGCACTCGATTTCGAACATTGTTAACGATAATCAGATGTAAATCTGGCATATACATTAACTTGTGGTAGTCTATCGACAGATCAACTCAGCGGTTCCGTCCTTCCAGTACGGTAACAATATTGGTGGCGCTGGACGAATGAGAACCTTGGTGAATCGAGCGCAGGAGCGAACCAATACCCCGTGTGTGTTGCGCAGCACCTAAGGATGATTTACGCACGCTTAGAAGTAGAAAATAAGTAGAAGCACAAGTAGTTCCTAGAAGAAGAAGCAAACGGAAACGCGAAAACAACTAAATCATCGCGTTGTCATAATAAACGAGGACATTTAACATGAAAGGCGGAGAAATATCCTTCATTTAACTGCTACTAACATGAATGAACAATCCGGATATTTTCCAACATAACTCCCAATAATACTCGACGAAACAAAAGTCCTCTTTTTCTTTTCAAAACAGCAGAAAATGCTAAGGTATGAATAAATGCTTGGTTGTACAAACCACTTACCATTCCGTTTGGTGACTGTCACAGATTGAAACACGAAATTTTTCTCTGTCATTTTCTCGAAAAAATTCCGGTGCTCTTGAGTTTTCGCACGGTCAAGAAGCTTTTCAAGAGGTAAGTGCTCAATTTCTTTACGCGGCACAGGCATTCGCCCGCAACCAATTCCATCCACCTGAACAGAAAATCCGTCGACACGAAAGTAGACGTCAGTCAGATTCTAGAATTAAAACATCGACAACACGCTTCTAAGTCTTTGAAAGAACTGACAACAGTATAGCACACTACATTTCAGTGTAACTCTAAACGGTCGTATTGGTTTAGCAAAACTCGGATATTGATCTAATCGTTAAGAGCGGCAAAAACAAGCTTCGCATGATTAATAAATAGATTTTGCATATTACGAATTTTATTCGGTTTTCCACTTCATTCATGTTTAAGTAGGTTCCTCGCGTTACGCAAGAATATCATTAAAGTCACAACTCTTTCGAATAACAAAGGAATGAGGAAAAAGATTTTTAGCATTCTATCCACTCAAAAGCCGGAGGCAAGACTTACTAAAATCATGAAGTCTATGCTGCAATCAGGATCCACCTGGGGCCACGACATTTCATCTACAAAGAAAGGTGGTGAGACGGTCTTTCTGATTGGATGAACCGATTGAAGTGCTGCCCAAAGTTCAGATGCCGTGTACGGTACGAAAACCTAAGCAAATCAAGTGAATAAGGAATCCCAGATTCATAAAACACCGAAATAATGCAGAGCCAAGGCCACCTGCATCATCGTAACTAAGGCATATATGCTTCGCTCAGCCTCTAGACTTGATCCCAGTACTGATGTGTCAAGTTTCTACAAAGAAAATATAAACTATAGATTTCCTTCTACAGTAATTATAGAGGACTTCACCCTAAGAGAATTCGTAAGTCCTTGAAGCCGTGCGAGAGCGGTGTTATGAAGGTTCAGCACCTCAAGACACATCGATACCTTAAAGACTACTCTCTATAAAAACTAGGCAATTATGACACCCTTGTTGAAACCATACTGTGTGATCTTTACGTAGGCCCAACAGCCAATTATTAACCTTTAAAGTCCTCTTAATTGAATCATCAAACTATCATATATCATATTCGAGAACTTTTTTTCCAATCATTAATCCACCTAATATTATTTGGAACACCGTAAAGTTTCTTCCACATCAAAATCAGTAAAACATGACAACCAACATTGCGAACAAAAAAGTTGTAGCTTTCTCTTAATTTCTCCTCGAGTTCCGTGTTGAGTGGAACATTCTTCGAGTTGCCACCCAATCGTTTCCTTTCACCAACGTAAGCCGAAACTATCCACGCAACTCGATCAATCCATTTTCTTAGGCCCTTGTCGTCTTAATGGAGAGAAATTATGAGGTGGCATGGGCTCAATCCGTCTGTACACAAACCTGACTCTTCCCAGTTTACTGGTTGACGGGGAGCTGCAGAATCGATTAGTTGAAGTCGAGTTATATCTACACCATTCTTACTCAGTACATCCAATGGATCTATTCCTAAACATGGGTGATAGCACTTCTTTACATGTAAGAAATTGTCCATTTCCCAAAACTTGGTCAAATATATTTATTATATCTCGTATGCTTCTAAACTAAGGAAAAGGCAGACTGCAGAATTCTCAGTATTCTAGACAAACAGTTATACTTTAACTATGTTTACTCAGTATATTACAAGAATAAAAATAGCACGTACTCGTCGAGAATGAGTGCAAGCAAAAATTAGCATTATAGCGTCAAATTAAAACCATAGCTCGCCAAATTCCTGCTAGAAACCTTATTCAAATACTCCTCATTCAAACCTTATAGCTCTGTTAAAGTAAGGAGAACAAACCATTCCTTTTCGACTTGCTCATCTTTTCGAACACCATTTCCAACTCCATTCCATCTGCCGAAAAGTATTTGTTATCTGCAAGATGAAAATGTGGTGAACGATTCTAACACTACAACGTTGCTGAGATATTTGCAAAACTCTGGACCGCAGGTGTCTATGGTGGAGAACGAACGTGCTATTATCCTTTCCGGGGAGTAACGCGTTCACCACCACAGCATGCGGGTCCTTCGTTTCGCCTGTCTCTCAGCTATTTCTATCGATCTTTTTGCCACAGCAATCACCCGTCAGCGGGGTTGATCTGGGGAGCCCAAATCGGCATAGAACCCAGTTAAGCTATGGCTGTAGTTGAAATCACAATGTTTAACGTTTTGTTTTCTGCCTTCTATAATAAGGTGAATGACGGGTGATTGCTGTGGCAAAGATCGATAAAAATAGCTGAGAGACAGGCGAAACAAAGGACCCGCATGGTGTGGTGGTGAACGCGTTACTCCCCGGAAAGGACAATAGCGCGTTCGTTCTCCACCATAGACACCTGCGGTCCAGAGTTTTGCAAATATCTCAGCAACGTTGTGGTTGTATTTCGCTTAGTAACCTGCCATGAAAATTATAGAAGGCAGAAAACAAAACGTTAAACATTGCGATTCGAACACTCTTCGCTATTTCGACTTAGTTAATGCAGATTANGGTTGATCTGGGGAGCCCAAATCGGCATAGAACCCAGTTAAGCTATGGCTGTAGTTGAAATCACAATGTTTAACGTTTTGTTTTCTGCCTTCTATAATTTTCATGGCAGGTTACTAAGCGAAATACAACCACAACGTTGCTGAGATATTTGCAAAACTCTGGACCGCAGGTGTCTATGGTGGAGAACGAACGCGCTATTGTCCTTTCCGGGGAGTAACGCGTTCACCACCACACCATGCGGGTCCTTTGTTTCGCCTGTCTCTCAGCTATTTTTATCGATCTTTGCCACAGCAATCACCCGTCATTCACCTTATTATAGAAGGCAGAAAACAAAACGTTAAACATTGCGATTCGAACACTCTTCGCTATTTCGACTTAGTTAATGCAGATTATCTAAAGAAAAGCAAACCCTTCACAATTATCTCGCTTTTCGAGAAGTAACGACCTTGTTTGTCAACATACGTCTTTCCTCGAACTATTCCTTGAGGAATAAGATTACTGAAAGGTTCAAGTTCCTAAAATTAGAATTTAGCATTTAAAACTTCACTTCAGTGAGGAAATTACTGGCTAAAATTATTATAGAAGCTGAATTACTTCGAAGAATCCTATGAAACTCCCGTAAGAATAGAGTAAAGGACATGAAGTACACACATAAAATATTAGCCGGAATAACACTGCCTAGCAAATTCTTATGGAATACAACCACAATAACACTGAAATATTGGCTAAACATCGGACCGCAGGTGTCTACGGTGAGGTACGAACTCGCTATTACCCTATCTGAGAACAAACGTTTTCACCACCACACCATGCGGGTCCTTCGTTTCACCTGTCTTTTGAAATAATATCCGCTTTAGGACTGCGACAGTATTAAACAGTATAAAACGAACCTGAACAACTCCGATGTCTGCCAGAAAGTACGACATAAATCGAGCAAAGAACATATGGACGGCAGCCGAAATAAAATATTTAAAAACCGAAAAAAAAACTGGAAATGGAGGAAAAGCAAAATATAAAGACGCATGTGTAAATAAAAAGTGCTTTCGGAAAAAAACCGACAAAAGAAAATTGTATGATAGAATAAAGCCGAAGGAAACTCGAACCATGTTCAATGCCGCCGACGTATATGTCTACAGGCATTTTCGTCGCCGCCTCGAGAGACAAAGGAGCATGTTCGTTCTTGGGATCGAGATAACGGAGATAGTACCTAAGCAAATAAAGGTATTCTAACAAAAAACCCTCCTAAAAGTAAAGAATTTCTACCAAGAAGAGTCGAAGAAAGTATCTAGTGTGTCCTTCTCAAAATATCCTTCGCCACCTTCTAACCTGAATAGTTTGAATAAACACTTGAAAAAATAACCACAAATCGACTTTAACGGATTACCGATCGCAAGTGACTTTTTCACCAGCACTTTGCCTTTGTATCAAAGGTAGTTCATCGTCTGAAAGGGGTACCGCCGTCTTCCCATCAGCACTTAAAATCATAGGGATCGGAGTTCCCCAAGAACGTTGTCTGAAAATACGGCTATTTTAATCCCGATGGTAAACTTTAAACGAAATATAATTTCCTTGCCTACTCACAACCCAGTCTTGCAAAGTTCGAGACGTCACATATCCTCCATAATTACCGGACTAAAAGTTAGAAAAAATTACTTCCTTTAAACAATAGCTCGAGAAGATTTTTAAAAATACAGTCCCTAAACAAACCGTAGATATGAAGGATAAAGGATAAAGTTCTCAGCGTTGGTCAATCTCTCAGGGATGCACCATGCATTCGACTTCATTAAGTATCGTTGGAGGTGGCTGAATGCACATCCGGCCTTTAATGTCTCGAGGTGGCCTACCGACGTATCGAGCCAGTGCTGCTATTCTCCCAGACAGGTCTGGTACCAATTTGCCGACCCGGGAGGAATGGAAGGCTTGGTGAACCACTGGCGCATGTACCGATCCTAGCTGTATATTGCAGGGCGCCTCCGACCACTGCGCCACACTCGCCCTTATTGTAGATATACTGAATTTTGACTCTGGAGGAAACTAAAGTATACCGTAGCAATTTCTTGAACCTCGCGAAGACTTAGAGGTACCAAACTTCTTCTATCTTGTGTGATTTTGAACTGATTAATTAATAGAGAGTCAGCAGCGACATCACCACATCTGGAAAGGCTTTCGTGAAAAGTAGCAGCCTAGTTTGGATACGACCCACCTGGCATCCAAATTCATAGCCGGTCCATCGTAATTATCCGGTACAACTATAACTGGCATCCAAACTCCGGTAATTCCATTTAGGACACTTAGGCCGAGACGATCTGGATGAAATAAATGAGAAGTTGGATCTCGATGGTATTATCATCTTACTACAAAAGTATTTTCTCTATACTGCTTTTTGAGGACAAAACTGTATCGTATTCATTACATTTTGCTTTCTAGTTGGTAGTAATAATGATTGAAGTACGTATAATGAAAAAGCATACAAGGTGATTCCACGCAAGGACGGCTGTGGTCGGACAAAGGATGTCCTTTGCGAATGACAATGAACGCAGCACGTGCCACACTGATGGGATCTTCCACTCGCAAGTCCAATATTTCTTCCATAGGTTGGTGCTCATCGTTCTTGAAATTACCGAATACAGTTCAGTAAGAAAGGACTACCATATAATTAACAGCCTTTTGAAAATTTATTGAAGCTAACAAAAATCATCTCTTTTGAACCTTCTGTTTCCTCCACAGTATAATTTTTCACGGCAGAGTATAATAGGAAATACAACTGCAATTATGTTGAGACATTCGCAAAACTTGGGCTCCAGGCCAAATCGAACCATGACTACCCTTTCCGTGGGCTGGCGTGTTGCACACTACACCACTAAGGCCTTTGTCGTGCATTTCTCTCATCTTGTGTATTCTAACACTTTCCACAGTTTTCTAATTTGAACATAAGCGCCATTCTATGTGCGGAAGTAGACGACCACTATATCTACCACCAGAGTATTGAATGCGTACGTGCTCGTTCAACAATGGGAACTTTACTAAAGCTGTTCTACTTCTTAGATAGTTCCATCTTGATATTTAGTTAGAACGACCCAAACATTTACACGAACCCTGAGAGGAAATAAAAAACGATAGACGTCACATTTTCCTATCCAGTTCGATTGGATTTCGGCCACTTCGTGCCATCCTGACAGTTGACGCAGACCATCGCTGAGACGCTAAAAACATAAATATTACAATATAACATTACATAAATATTACAAAGTAGAGCTTTTAGAAAACAAATTAAAAATTTTAGAGGAAACGAACTAGCCCAATTTAACAACCGTGTAGCCCTCAACAAGCCCGCTGTGAACAATAAGTCATGTCTCACTTACATACTGTTATGAATAAGATTTATATCGGAAGAAAAGATAAAAACCACTCCAAATTTACAGTGAAAACATGCCCGTATTTAGTGTATAGACTATGTCCATTGCCAAGCTCCGACGATCTTATAGTTGGAAAACAAAAAGGGCATCTCTGCGACGTTAAAAAAAATTTTCAGGACCTTAAATGAGCAACATCTGACTACTCAAAAAATGTCTTGGTTTGTCATTTATTCTCAGAAACATGAAAAATTGATGCATGACATCTCAAATCACAAACTACTCGATCAAATGATATTGCATGAAGCAGATTTCGCACTCTGCTCAAAGCTAGCCTTGGCTCTGTGTATGAGACGGTATCGAACACTTGCCTTGGCATAACGAGGCGTCTCCACCATCCACTGCCGCAGTTTGCGCTTCTCAGCGATCGCACCACTTCGCCAACTTCTTCCATCCGCATCAATTTGTTCAGCCGCAAGTACAGTGTTATCTACAGGATCCCAATGCACCTAAAATGTAGAAAACTTGGGGATCTAAATATTTTGCCATATTTTCTACGTAACCCTGCAGTGATCTATATTCTCGCGCGATCCTTGCCCAAGGTAGTGGTTCGATTGGAATATAGTGACGCCCGATAAGTACATTTCGTAATCCAGAAATCGTCTCCATCATTCATCCAAATGTAGATGACTAATGTTAGATAGAACACGTCCACTCTATATTTATACGGTTGCCTGAGAGGATACTTGCATCCTCTTAGAGTCTATTTCAGTTTTTCTCAATATACAACCGGCCCGTTTTGCTTCTCCGAGGAATATTCCTATGGAAGTTGAAGGTGAGATAAAAAGGATAAAGATCTCGGCATTGATCAATCCCAAAGGGATGCGCCATGCGTTCGACTTTACTAACCATCGTTAGAGCATGATTAATTGAATGCATATGTGGCTTTTGCAATGACTTCGTGGTGGCCTACCGATGTATCGAGCCAGCGGTGCTATCCTCCCAGACAAATCTGGTACCAATTTGCCGACCCCGGAGGTATGGAAGGCTTGGTGAGTCACGGCCGCCGGGATCGATTCCACGTGTGCATTGCAGGGCGCCTCCGACCACTGGGCCACACACGCCAAATAGGTGATATCGTTAACCAGTGTAATGAAGTAGCAAACAACTTTGGCGAGATTACGGTACCGTTTAGGCTCCTTTTCTATTGTGAATGGTGAAAAATCGATGCAAAAGCTGTACTTTCAAGTACGGTTTCGAGAACAGTCAGCTACAAATCTAATGTGGGACGGATGCACTCGTTGGCCGACGAAAGCTGATGTGAGTGTTTTCGTTTCGACGCTGTCAAACACTTTTCACAGTCTAGAGAGCTTAGGACAAGAATGGGTGGCATTTCCATCAAAATTCTATGGTCGGGCAGATGATTTGGATGTTGTCCATACAGCATAATGTCTCTGGGGATCCTGCTTACTCAATTAATTGGGCCTCATCCGAAGGCTGTAATATACGTGATGGAACAAATTTCGTGAACTTATACAAAACACTTAGCAAGTATATCAAATAATAGTTACGAAGAACCCTTCAATCACTCTTTTTGGGCAGGATTACGGTGCCCGAAGTCCCCAACTTATCTTACCTTTCAAAGGATACGTTGACCAGCAAACCTATCGTCTCCTTAGTTATTCTCTCCAGTTTTCTACCACAATACTTCGACTCAAATATGGATAGTCGCTTTCCTTCATTATATCTTATTTTTTATCCTTTCGTAATGAAAAAATGGTCTACGGTCCAAATACGAAGAGCTTTCAGCCTTTAGCAGCCGGTTCCAAAACATTTCTTTATTATACTTTGAGATGTTTCTATGTCTTCCATTTCCACCTATTTATTACTACGCGCAATTAAGTAAGGGACCTATAGTGTTTACAAAAATAAACCCCATAAAAGTACATTGACGAGCGTAGGAATGTCTTAGTACACTCATCACCAGCACTTTCGCTTCCAAGCTACCGAACTCATATGGAAAGCAGTTCTTAGTGAATAGTTAGGTGTAGCGGACACCCAAAAAGCAATCGCACTGAGATCAGTGCATACAGTCTTCTAATCCTCACAAATGCATTGCCAGTCATGAATAAGTTAAATAACTTGAGTTACAATGTTTAACGTTTTGTTTTCTGCCTTCTATAATTTTCATGGCAGGTTACTAAGCGAAATACAA